GGGGGCGGGGCGGTTGTTACGGTCTTGGGAGCGGTTCTGCCAAGTGGCTGATGCGGATCGGTTGGACTGGGCGAGATTGTTGTAAAGGGTCGAGGTACGTTGGATGAGGTGATCAGCATGGATTAGTTGGGTTTCGACTTGTTCGATGGACGTGAAGGTGCCTAGTCTCATGTGGAGATCCATGTAGGTTTGGTGGAAGTCGGGATTGTGGATCAGGCCATCAATGAGAAATTCAGCATACATGGAAGGGTCCTGGATTCCGGGGTAGTTACTCGCGAGCATGCGCAAGCGGATCTCACGATGCTGGCCAATGTAGTTGTGAATGGAAACACCGGGGCGAAGGAGGGTTTGTTTGGCCAGAGCGGAGAGAAGATAGGGAGCGTTGGTGGGGTTGGTGGAAGTAAGGGTGAGGAGGCGTGTGCATAACCCAAAGGGCGAGAGGCGAAGGTCCTCTTTGCTGAGGCGGATTCGGATGTCGTTAGAGCAGCTGTTGAGGATGAGAGCCTTGGCGTAAGCAAAGAGCTTGTTGTGTTTGAGGAGGACGTCCGCTTGGGTGGGGGCGGGAGGATCAGCTGTAAGGAAGTGGGCACAGTCATTAAGGGAACAGAGGAGGTTGAGATTTTCGAACCATAGGTCGTAGTTGTCAAATGTGAGCGAGACTACGGACAGTCGGGCAGGATCGGTGGAGGAGTTTGGGGCCGCGGTGGATGCCGCGGTTGGGGGAGGGTTCATAGCTGGGGATTCAAGAAGGACTTGAGCGAAAAGGTCTTCAGGGAGGGTGCGAAGTTCGTCCTCGCGATCAGCAACAAGGCGAAGTTGGGCTCGGCGCTGGGCGCGGTCGGGACGGGAGGAAGGAGGATCGATGGTGGGGGAAGTATCGGCGAATCGCCGGAGGGTGACGGCAAGGTGCCGGTTGAGGTGACGGCAAGGTGCCGGTTGAGGAGATCGGCGAGGCGCCGGCGTAGAGCGAGAAGAGAAAGGCGAGGGAGTTTAGCGTAAAGGGTCCATAACCTGTGATTAAGGGCGATGATGCTCGCTCAGTTTACTGGAGGGGGCGACGACGGGCTTAAGTACTGTGGTGTGGTGTGGCTAAACGTGTCCAGGTGGCTATCGTACAGCAGGGTCTTGTTTTGTGTCGTATCTTACACGTGTACATGCACTCCCACCGTACTTAACACCGTCGTCGCTCATGTCCCCAGTAAAGACGACCCCAGGGTCTTGAGTCTCTCCTACAGTTTGGTTCTGCCGGGAGACGAATCGCATCTCCTTCGATTGCCAGCCTCGGGCCTTTTTTCAAGTGTACAGGGTGGTCGCGATAGAGTGCCATCTTTGTTAGTGCCAGCTCCGATATAGTGATACCCTTTTGCGGGTGGCGCGAATTTTGAGCCAAAAACTAAGGGTCTCCAGAGAGGCAGTTGGATGGACGTACTGCCCGAGAGCCGCTGCCGCCGCGGAAAGATATTATGCAGTTGCTATCTCGAATAGAGACTATGGCGGAAAAAGGCAGGGTCGATGATGCAATTGACATCTGCAAAAGACATCTGCAGAAGTGTAGGCTGGCATTTATTGCTGCAAAAATGGAGGAAGTCAATGCGACGGCTTGGAAGCTACTAATGACATAAATGCTTGATTAGACTTGAGTCTGTAGTGAAGATGCAAAGTATGAGTGATGGCGTCTTGCGAACGGTCTTTCTGAGCAGTGATGCAAGGAAGTGGCTGCAAAAAAGCCGCAAATCTCATTATCTTACAGTGCCTGGTTCGATATAGTGCCGTTTTCGGCCCACTGACAGAGGGAAGCACTATATCGCGATCCCCGTGTACTGGCATTCAGGGACGTCAATAAAATGATTAAATTGAATTTTAATGTATGCTAAATTGGATCAAGATTGAATTCAATCGCATTTATGCGGTAGGCGACAGCCAATGGTGTGCTCTCGTAGGGCAGGTTGGTAGTGACAGATTCCATTATTTTAACTTTGTGTGCGTCATCATACTGTTAAGAAAAGTATTAAATGGACCAATCAGGTGCACGCTGACGTCCATACATGTCCAAACATGCCCGTCCATGCTGTCTTAAAGGAGGCCCTCACTTTACGTGGGGTGTTCGTTGAAGTGCGCGACCGGAGCACCGACATCAAAGATTTCTGCCATAGTGTAGGACACCACGCCCCATCACAGCCCAAAACGTACAGCCATCCTAATCAAACTTTCTTCAGCCTGCGTGTCGTACCGTGCAGCAAACGCTGTGTACTCCAGCCCCTTCGTGTTGGACTCAATGCGCATCCCACGTTTGAAGCGAGGACTGTTCACCTCCATCACCGCCTCTTTGCACCCAACCGATTCGCAGTACGTGCTCATTCTCATCGCGTGCCCGCGGAACACGACCATGTGACCGCGTGTGGCACAGCTGTCGTTCTCATCACATAGAACCCGCGAGACGGCGTGCTTCTCGAACACAAGTCCATTGCTAGAAAGATGCCCGAGGGCTCGAACGTCTATACACACATCATCTTCGTCGTCATTACCGCCTGGTGGGACATCGAGTCCATCCGGGTTCGTGATGGAACCCTCGCTTTCCGAATCTCCGTCGCCAGCCGTAGGCGTCTCCTGAACTCCGCCACCGGAACCTGTGCCGCCAGTCGTGGACGTCTCCTCGTTATCTCCAGCATTTACAGCTTCTTCAGAGAAACACAGCGTGCTCTCATTTCCCTGCACGCACACTTCTCCAGCTGTCGAGCAATCGTCGCTGGATGTGCATGACTCAGCTCCGTCCGTAGGTACACATATACATCCCTCGCTGGAAGAGCACGTAACTTCGTTGGCTATGTCTACACACAATCTTCCATCCGCACACTCTGACGTGCTCGTGCAAGTGTCACCAGTCAGCCCACTTCCACCACCGGAACCTGTGCCGCCAGTCGTGGACGTCTCCTCGTTATCTCCAGCATTTACAGCTTCTTCAGAGAAACACAGCGTGCTCTCATTTCCCTGCACGCACACTTCTCCAGCTGTCGAGCAATCGTCGCTGGACGTGCATGACTCAGCTCCGTCCGTAGGTACACATATACATCCCTCGCCGGAAGAGCACGTAACTTCGTTGGCTATGTCTACACACAATCTTCCATCCGCACACTCTGACGTGCTCGTGCAAGTGTCACCAGTCAGCCCACTTCCGCCACCGGAACCTGTGCCGCCAGTCGTGGACGTCTCCTCGTTATCTCCAGCATTTACAGCTTCTTCAGAGAAACACAGCGTGCTCTCATTTCCCTGCACGCACACTTCTCCAGCTGTCGAGCAATCGTCGCTGGACGTGCATGACTCAGCTCCGTCCGTAGGTACACATATACATCCCTCGCCGGAAGAGCACGTAACTTCGTTGGCTATGTCTACACACAATCTTCCATCTGTACACTCTGACGTGCTCGTGCAAGTGTCACCAGTCAGCCCCATGCGATTTGCGATTGGCAAAGATGTGCGAAAAAGTCCTGCCAAGTCTTTTGATGTTCCCAGTGGAGCTGCTTTTCTCCCGGATTGTTGTCCCATCTTGGTTTTCAGCGTACGAGTGTTCTGCAAATTTGAATGAGGGATAGATGCCATGTTCAAGGCAGGAAATTTGGTTTGCGAGGCAATCTTGGATTGGATGCTTTGATGATCCGTAAACCAGCCAGCAAGTGCCGCAACGTTGGGCCGAGACATCTTTTGTTCCTTCGGTTTGAATGCATGTGCCCTTCTTACTGTATTGTGCGCTTGAAGGAAGGCATCGAGCGAGTGACGACTCGGAACAGCTGCAGCAGATGTGGGTGGATCTGTTTTGCGGAGGGATTTAAATATATTCCTTCGCAAGCTGGCATTGTGTAGCGCATCACGACTCCTTGCTGTTAGGGATAGCTTCTGCGCGTTAGTCAAGAGCCATATCCCGGATCGAGATGGCGATATCGGGGCTGGAGCAGCGAGCGCGACGACAAGGAGGGCGCACACTAGCAGAAAGCGCTGCAGAGTAAGCATGTTGACTTGTGGGTGTTTCGGGAGCCGAGGAAAGTTTTGACGCAGGAACGGTGGGCCGGACGGCGGCGGAGGCAGAGGAGTAGGAGAAGTACTTTAAGTAGAGGGCGGGAAGAGGGCCAAGCGACGCTGTGAGGATCCCGAGATCAGGGCGGTGAAACCGCGGAAGCAGAGGAGTAGAAGAAGTATGTAACTTTAAGTAGAGGGCGGGAAGAGGGCCAAGCGACGCTGTTCGCAGCGTGACATGAGGATCCCGAGATCAGGGCGGTGGAAGCAAGGTACAGTACGAAAGGATATTGATGCTCTTCGTAGATTACGTAGTTCAACTACGGCACCGCGTTTGAGAGTTTTCCGTAACGGGATGAACAAATTGAGGTCGAGGGCGCAAAACCGCAGTCTTGGCAAAAAGACGCCAACAAGACAGAGATGGGTAACTGTACGCAAACATTACGGTCCTTTCGCTGGTGGGGGCAACAATGACACTCCAAGATGAGGATCACACTGCGACATCTAGTAACTTTACTACCTGTAGCAATAAAAAGTTGTGCGGTATGACAGATTGGTGTAGGATGAGGCTTTTGACTCATATTTGATTAGGTTTTCTGTACGGCACGGGCATGTCCGACTTTTGAGTGAGTGAGGTGTGCGCAAGGAAAACTGAACAGGTGGAGCGCACCGATTTGGACTTACCGTACGTGTGTTGGCAGCCTGAGATCCAGAGTTGGAGCGAAAAATGCCAGGAAGAGAGCATGACTATGGGCCTGTTTGCAATACCAAGGGTACTGTATTGGGGTTTATGCCTGACAAGCGCGAGCCGTTTCACAGGTATTCCAGGGCCATGATCGGGGCAACAGTGTGGAAACTCGCCGAGTGAATTTCTACGATGCGAGCAAAAGTTACAGTATGTACCCTTGAAGGGTACTACGGCAGCGAACGGGAGAGAAGGAAGCAACTGGTCCTGGGACCAGGAGGACTTTGTGTGCAAAAAGGCCCAATGATGGGCTCTGGCTCTGAGGTGCCCCAGATGTTGCCCTCCGTGTTGAAGTTGTGTAGACTGTTGACCTGTTACGGGATGAATGCCTTTGGAAGCAGAGTGGAACTGTCAACAGTATTGACATCAACACTGTGGACTTGGGGACATAGACTTGATTGTTGCCACAAGGCAGCAATGCACTACCGGATCGCCATAGTTGTGTTTTTTTTTCACGTGACATTTTGATCACAAATAAATGTACTGCACCGCTCTGTTGGACAGCACGTTACAAGTAAACTGGTAAACTTTGCATGCAATAATATTGTATTATAATCTTGAGACTTTTTGTTACGTACAGAACCCCTTTTATTTTGGACTTTTTGTTGGGGGTGCTGTACACGACGACCCATATTATAAAAACGACACGTTGTAGATGTGAGTTCGGCACTCTGAGCCGTACGTTTGCCGTACGTGTGCCGTACGTGTGCCCCGCACGCGCACGCCGAATCTACCGTATACTGTAGTACCCTTCTGGCTGGCTCAATTATGAAAACGGGTCAATTACGAAAAGCGTCAATCACGATCAGTACAGTGTACAGTTGTGACAATTTGTGCAACGTGTGCAGGTTTGCAGCATACAGAGTGTCGTGATTCCTTCATATGACTCCCAGTCATTCCTCTCTCATGTCGTTGGCCAACGGCACCTCCCCTTTGCTCAGTGGTCATCATTCCCTGCATCACACAGACCATGGCAGGATTGAATGGGATAGTAGTAGCGTAGTTGGATGCATGAGGTACGAATTGATTAATCGAGGCAATGGGCGCAAAGGACCAAAGGGTGCAAAGCAATGCCCATGCATGGGGTTTTAATTCACGTTTACGAGCTGTAGCGAAAAGCCGACAATTGCATTGTCGACCACTGTAAGCGAGAATGGTAACTGAACGCAGGAGCGACATGCTGTTCTCCTAGATAGTGATGTATATGGAGCGATAGAGACACCGGAAGCACCGGAGAGAAGGAGGTAGAGCGAGAGCGGGGGTTAAGAGCAAATACAGTGCAGAGAGTAGCATACTCGGGCATTTGTGCCTTCCGTAATTTACTTGCCACCAAGGACAGAACTGCTCCCACAGCCCGACGCAATGGTGCACCGTGCTGTACTTGCTTTCTGGACCGCGAGTTCTCGAGCAATAAAATTGTGCACTGCTGTACAGACTGAGAGAAGGAAAGTACTGTACAGCCTTCCATCAATGAGACGTACCGTACGTACTCGCGTACCTGTACCATTTGGCTCTCGTTGTAATGTTGTAATATTTATAATGTTGCGGAAGCGCCTCTGACACTACCCTCTTTCCGCCACTCCTCTTTCGGCCATGACCCGCAACCCCCGGCAACCTTCGTCTGCGCACATCCAACCATCGCGTTGGCAAGCCTGCCGACAAGGATACTGCGGAACCAATGCAAGCGCATGCATGTACCGATCCTTCACGGTTCTGTACAGCACCGTGAAGGGTGGCATGCCCCACGCCCCGGAGGCTGCTGCCCCGCGGCAACAAGGCCCCAATGAAAAGAACGATCTTAACAGATTTTGATTTTTCGGCGACCTCCCCACCCGTCGTCCCTTTACAGCTCCCCGTTACCGCCGCGCGATAGGCTGGCACCAGCCAAAGGCGTGCTGCTCCCCAGCCTCAATCGCTGACGCCCCGACGTCACGTACAAGTGTAAACTCGGCGTGCCCTCGGAGTTATCGCCTGTCATTGTTGGCCAAAACAGCGCATGTCGGCCATTGCCCGCCTCATGCCCTCGCCACATGACCGCGTTTCGTGCCGGTCACGCCGCGTCTGGGCCTGGTCTTCGCAGCGCTGCACGCCTGCCCGTACCACCCCCTCCCGCCCCGCCCGCGAGCGCATTACTGCCCACACGTGTTTCTCACGTCGAGTACTCGGCCCCGCCGCGAACGTGGACGCCCCCCTCCCAAACTACTTCCCCCTCACCACCCCGTTAACCTGCTTCGAGCAGCGTCGCAGGACAAGCATGCTGACTCGCAGCCGTCATTGTAGCTGAAGTTGGCAGAGGAGTGGGAACATGACTGATTGCAGATGTCAGAGGAGAGATACGCGGTATTTAAAGCAAGTGGGTAGCAATTAAGGACGAACGGCCCTTGTTAGGGGATGGCGGATGGTGGCATCATTCATGAGACATTGTTGTAGGGGCAATACAAACTTATGAGGTGCGCTAACTGCACAGCTGGCCGACAGACGATGATTTTGCCCTAACGGACTTTTTGTGAGAGCAGAAAAAGCCTATGTCAACAACGAGAGTCGTAGATGAGGATACCCTCAGTGGTCTCAAAGGCTGAAAGTTTGTCGTCCAAAAACGAATGGTAGCAGATGTGAATACTGTGACGGCGTCCTAATGTATGTGCCGCACAATACTACCACTGTATATCCTAGAAAGTGTACGTTTTACAGCTGCTGGGTTTTCTTTAAGAAAGACAAAGGCATATGGAATTTGACTTAGAGAAAATGCGCAGTCAATGTCGTATTGCGACATGAGCAAGTGGAACGGGTCTATTTGGACCAGATGCACCCAGTTGACGGGTTTGTCATATGGAAAAGGTGTCAGTGGTCTGTTTATTATTTTCCTCTCCCTCTCTGTCGTAATCTGTCTGTGTGTGACCGCCTCCCCGTGCTTCCACCTTTTCTCTCCCACTTTTATAGCCGCCGGGCTTCCACCTGGCCTTTTCTCTCCCACTTTTATAGCCGCCGGGCTTCCACCTGGATGGAAGCCCGCGCGGACACATCTAGAAACGCTCCGAAATTATTCTAAAATTTGGTCTAAAATTTGGTGTAAAAATTCAATGCATCATTTAAGGTTCACAGGGTTGACTTAAAGCTGAACAAAGGTGAAGAAACGAGATGATACCTTCTGTAAATGCAGAAACAGCATTAAGGATCATCACAGCTTCTCTCACCAAACAGCCAGGGGAATAACGGTCTTCTATCGTGTAATACTTTCTTATCTTCACTGCTGGAAAGCGGCTCTCCAAATGGTCCTGGAACCACCAAATTCTACCGTTTTTCCGTCTCGGCCACGTCCCATGGGCAAAAGGTCCATCCATGGTCATCAACTAGCCGCCTCACCCACTCTGCCTCACCACTCTGCGAGCGGGAGGACTCGTCTGACAACAAAGCTGGGGTGGAAGGTCGATTAAGTTTCAGAAACCTAATCTTGTGATCTGTTCACCCAGCGGACAGGTCAAGAGATCATACTGTGAACAAGTCACCGTGGAGAGATTTTGGGATTACAGTACCCCCATCTCTTCACCTTGCCTCGTTGCCGTGTCGGGATAGGGTAGCGCCGGCAGCAAGCGTGCTGTCTCACAAACCCCAATCAATGTGCCCTCGTCGCGTGCGCGTCGACGGGGCCGTGGCGTGGCCGTCACCCTCAGCGGCGGCTCTAGCTTCAAGTCGGGCGTTTCCTTTGTGATGCCAAGATCAGACCGATGCCTCCGACCCCCGAAGGTTGTCAGAGCGCCGGCGGCTTTATTTGCGTGTAACCTATCATTGCCTTAAAGGTTGTGCCAACTTTGGACACAGACCGTTGAGCTGAATAGGTGGACACGGTACCCACAACGACTGCGTAGGCCGCAGAGACATGACCGAAATATGACCCTCATCGTGGTGGCCGGGCACAACTGTACCATATTCTGAGTTCCTTCCCGTACATGTATCAGCAATGAAATCCAGTCAGCATGAAATCTCAAGGAGCAATGCGTTCCAAAATATGAAAGTTAGCTCGCTTTTAAGAAACGATGCAAATGTGCGCACCAGTGTGAAATTCAATGTGTTGTTGGCACTGCGCCACGCCAGTTCACCGCACATCGCTGCTGTTCCGCTCGTATTGTACTCAGCCCAAGTTCTCTCTCCACAGAAAACAATGACCGTAAGCCTTCAAAAGGCTCCTGGAGCAGGTCCCTTCTCTCTCTACCCATCAAGGCACATGCGTTGTCCGTCCACTGGCCCCGCCCCT